AACAATCAACAATAATTTCCAGATCTGTTCAAATTATAACAACAAACTAACCATATAAAATGTCTGGCCTCATGAAGTATTTAGTGGACAATCTCTTCAAATTTCATTGGTCGAGTTTAGTTGTATTATGGTTTTGCATGTGGATGGTCTTTGGAGGATAGCTCCTGGTCGAATTTGGCTGCATTTTCGGCCTTGAATGTGGTCGATTATCGCTGGTCAAGTTCACCATAGGTCTGTCTACCGTAACGTCGTCCACGAAAAAACATTTCAATGAACAACAATCTCGTACACAAGAAATTGTTCAATTTATATTATCCACATCTGCTTATAAATATCTCACCTATTTTTTTACTTATTTCTTACCGAACCAATCTGGGCCACACATTCAAAAAAAAAAATATCTAAACAGAAACATCCAACGGTCAGTAGTAACTGATCATTATGGGTATTTTGGTCCAAAATAAACACAATAACCCAACAAAGTGCATATTGGTCAAAAAGTGTCCCTCTTGAAATAAAACTCAAATAAAATGTTTCTAAATGTAATCAACCCTTACATATTTGGTTGTTCCAATAAGTCATTTTACCTCGAATTATGAAAAATATAAGTGAAAGTCTGAAAGAACAAGCTGTAGATTTTCAAAAGAAAAAAAAAAAAGCTAAGCTGTGAGATCTAAAATAACCCTAAAATTGAAGACTATAATAAGTTCACCAAAACGTAAATGCATTTTTATTTGAGAAAATGGATTATCCTACAAGATCCTCTTTGGATCTCGATTATTCATGTTTTGAATAATGGATGAATTTTCTGTATAACTAAACTGATGAGAATAATTTGTTGAAGAAACATATAAAATTTTTGTAAGTAAATATTGTGTTTTATTACGCATATTGAAGAAAAAACGTGAAACAACATAATTTTATTTTTAAAATATGTGTGCCATAGTCGCCTCATTGGTCCAAGTTTATTAATATTTTTACCATGTGGCTCGTTATTTTGCAGATTAATAGAAACAATATATATCAGAAAATCCTAGCGTGGTGTAGATAAGAAATCTATTTATAATAATCAATTATGTTAAGGCTAAAATTATATATTATGAGTGTTGTGGAGATAGAACCATCTATCATTATTCCCAATTATTACAAAACAAATTAAAA